AAGATTTGCATCGAAGCGTTTTTTTTTGATAGTGATTTTAATCACTGTCAGATATCATTATACTTGATCCAACTATGCCACTTCAACACTATGCCGCGACCCCCCTGTGCTGGGGTTTTTTTTTTACTCTATTTGTGTGTACTACTACTAGACTATAGTATTCCAAATTTGTTGGTAACATGTTGCAATATAAATCATTTCTAAAAAAAATAATTGTTTTTTCTCCTGGATTAATAATTGATTTTTACAAATATATTCAAATTTAATAATACGCTCATTGAGTAAATCTTTTTAANTAATCAAATTTTATAATACGCTCAATTGAGTAAATCTTCTTAACAACTTTGTTTTGATTGGTACATTTAGTTAAAGTAAATCATTAAAATTAATTAAGTTCTCAATATTTCAATTGTAGAATCTTTTCAAACAACAAAAGTTACTAGGAAATTATTACTATTACTTCTATTTATGTTATCTATTACCATAAAAATGCAAAAAAATATTTGTTACTCTGATAAATTTGCTATAAATAGTAATTGTAAAACTTTCTGACTGCATATTGATCTTAAAAATAATCAGTCCAAATTTTCAAAAATTTTTCCTCAACTTTAAAGAACCAAAAAAATAGGTTAAAAATGAAAATTTGGACTGATTATTTTAATATATTAAAAATCAAATCAGTAATAATTTGAAAACAATTTTTTTTTCTTTTAATTGTTATTTTATATGTAATTAGTAATAATATAAAAAATTAGAAGTGATAGAAAAAGTCTACTTGCAGATTTGAAAACAACGCGAAAAGTTGATTTAGAAAAGTATATTTTTGTTTCTAATGAAGGTTCCTTGAAGTCCAGTGCATTTTTTTATAGTAACAAACAGTTTTTATTGAATTTTATTGTATCAAGCCTTTTAAAATTTTATACACGTAAAAGTAAAGCAAAATATAACTTCATTATTATTTTTATAATTTTTCCGTTTAAATTACAATATTAAATTATTAAATATCAATTTCATACTGAATTTAAAAACTATAATTAGTATTTATTCATATATTATATTTTAAAATCAAAGTACTACTAATCAGGATATAATTAAAGAAATAAGAGTTGATGTTGCTTTTGGAATAATCCACCAATTTCTCTAAATGAAACACTATCTACTGATTTGCATCGAAGGGTTTCTTACGATAGTGATTTTAATCACTGTCAAATATCATCTATACTTGTCCACACTGTGCCTCGACCCCACTGTGCTACCGTTTTTTTTTTATATCAGATTTATTTTTTTGAAATTTTTTTCTATGGTAAGCATTAATCATATATATTAAAAACAATTAATTAAATAGTACTAATATTAACCATTTTGATAATTTCACATAATTTTTTTATGTAAATAATTTTAACTAAGTTTATAAAAATTCGATTTAAGTGTGATTAATAAAACCTTCTAGTGTAAAAAAATCATACAAAATAATGACAGTTTTTAAATAAGATAAGCTATGCTTAACAAATAAAATACTAATTTTTACAATTGTACTTATGCAATTACACAAATCATTATATTTTATATGGTGATTCTTTTAATATCGAAGTATGATTTACATTTTTCTTTCTATTGTAAGCATTAATAAAATGTTATCAATTGCGACGTTAGCTACAGTTGCACATTGTAATTGATCAGCTGATACGTAGTACTATTGGAATATGGATGATGTGTTCTTTTTACTAAAATCAACATTGGAGCCCAGAATAAAAAAGATTCTATTTTATTATTTGAGTTTACTTTGTTCCTCCATCAGTATTACCACAAAGACGCTCATATATATGAGCAGTAGTGTATTTAGGAATTTGTTATTCCTAAAAAAAATATTTGTAAAAAATATTGTTTTATATTATTTGATTTTCAACAAGTTACAGTTGTTTAAAGTTTAGTGCGATCAGAAAAAAGTTTATCTATTTTTTTAAAAAACAGCAATATTACCGATCATCTCTACCAGTTCAAAGAAATAAAATAAACTGTACACTCTCTTTATCATATTATAAACCGGTAGTACTTATCAATTTACGACTCAATAAAAATGCTGTCATAAAAAAGAACACATCGTCCATTTTCCAATAGTACTACGTATCAGCTGATAAATTACAATGTGCAGCTGTAGCTAACGTCGCAATTGATAACATTTATTCATTTTCGTATTTCCTTTATTACTATTACTATTGTTGTTATAAAGTTTATGATTAATGCTTACAATAGAAAGAAAATCGTACTTCGATATTAAAAATATCGCCGTTTAAAATACAATAATTTTTGTAATGGCATATATACAATTGTAAAAATTAATATTATATTTGTTGAACATATCTTATTTATTTATAAACTGTCATTGTTTTGATTTTCTTACGCTTGAACGTTCTATTAATCACACTTAAATAGGATTTTTATGAATTAGTTAAAATTATATACATAAAAAAAATTATGTGAAATTTTCAAAATGGATAATATAGTACTATTTAATTGATTGCGTTAAAATCCCAAAAAAATGGTATGTATACTATTTTAATTAGTTGATAAATATGATTAATATAGTATTAAAGTTCTAATAATGATAATCAATGAAATATTTACATCATTCTTTGTTGTTAGATATTTTTAATTATTTCCCAATCATTTATCATATTTAATTCTATAATTAGTATATTTATTTATTATTCATTTTTTAATTCTATCATATTATTTAAAAGAATGCTGTTAATATTTTAATGAATTAACTAGTTTTTGCAACTCATTCTGTATTAAAGGTTATACTTTTTTTTAACCCTGAAATCAAATAGTTTTTTGAAATTTGAAATATATGTTTAGTACTAGAAGATTATAATACTATTAAAAATTTAGGACTTAACAATTACTTGCCATTTCAAAATTGGACAATTTCAATGTTTTCATTTTTATTACTGATTGACTCATCATCAAAATTATAAGACACTTGTACTGTGTAGGTAGAAATATAAAATATAGTGTAAATAAAGAAAATAATTTGAAAATAATTGTTTTCTATATAAACTGTCTAACAGACAGGAACGTCATTTGAAGTCAGCAGGGCAGGCAATCACCCATTTTAATTTTTAATTGGTTATGAAAATTATGTATTTTGCTGATTTAAGTCAGCAAAAAAGAATGATATCCTCAACAAAAACCTAACAGTAAAAAAGTGCATAGTTCCAACCTCCTCCCTTTTAAAAATATTTGCCTATCAAAATAGTGATATCTACATTGTTGTCAATTTTGTTCTTTCTTCAGTTCATAAACTTTAATCCTTCTTTTATGAGTAATTGATGTTGCTAAAATATAGGCCAGTTTCTGACAAGTCAAATCAGTTAACCTTAAACATTGTTATTTTACTGTCAGACTGATTAACACCTGTCAGTCAATTATGGTGATTGGATAAGTGTATCCTGGGGAAATGTTAAGTTCAGTAGTTTTTCATTGTTTTCTGTACTTAGAAAAATAGTATATGCTTCTATTGAAATTGATGCATGGTAATCCGTCTTACAATTAACAGCTGTAGGCAGAGCTTAACTTCATTGCTTATTATCATCTTAAGTGTCCTTTGAACCACCCCCTTTTTTTCTGAAAGTATAATAATAAATGTTATAAGAATTTAATAGTAAGTTCAATGTTCATAGTACATACGTATATGCATTTTTTTTGAATAATTGTAATATGTTTGTATTTTTATAAACTTATATAAGCAAATGTATTTATAATAGAAAATATTTAAGAAATAAAAATTTTATTTATTTTTAGTTTTAATTAAATTTTTTTAAATATTTTGATATAATGATTAACCAAAAGAATTATATATTTGATAATATCTGGAATTTACCAAAAAATAAAAATAAAATGTTTATCTAAAAAATTAAAAAAAATTTTGTCTCTGTTATTATTACTTAGGCACATGGTTTGTCATAATTCAAATTTTAAGAATAATTTTTAACAAAATATTTATGTGCCAAAAGGTTTAAAAGAAATTTCATATGGTTTAGATTTATCATTACTTCAATTTTATATTTTATTTGTTGTTGACTAAAAAAAAAAATTGTTAGAACAAAATATCAATTATTTTTTATTTTAATAGACTAAATAATATGTGTTTAACTTGTATATTTCAATGATTTGTGTTTATTTAATTATACATTTGTTTTTTAGGTCTTAATGTCCTATCTTTTGGATAATAAAGTAGTGTGCTCTTTGGTACACTATTTGCTAAAAAGTATGATATTATGATAAATGCTATAGCAGTGGCACAGGAAGCTATTTATGTTGAATGTTAACAGCCAATAGTTAGAATATAACAATATTATCAGCATGGAGAATCTTTTAGTGTATCATGTTGACATCGGTAGATGGATTACATGTGACTTTAGCTTGCTAAATAAAACGTAAGGATTTTTTTTCTCAATAATTTTGATAGATGCTAATATGATACTGTGTATACCTCCATTCACAAACTGTAATTGAGGTTAAGCTGCATTAGTTACTACTAGCCCTGTTGGGTTGTCACCGTCCAGGTGACCAATTAAATGCTACTAAAATGTAACTGTTGTCAAAAACTATTCTTAATTTAAACAATACAGGTTATAAAAAACATACTCCCAGTCAATACTTTTGTTCCAATATAATAACATTAATTATTATTATTCTGTATCTAGAGTATCTGAACTTAAACAACAAATTGAAAAAAAGGCTGATATTCCACTCAACAAGCAGGTGCTGCTTGTTAGTGGTGGAGGGCATTTAGATCCTTCTAAACCAGTTTCGTGCTATTGTGCAGGTACTGATACAAGCCCATTTTTCCTTTTTAGTAAAAGGTTAATTGATCATCCTGAACCACCCACTGCTTATTTTCATAATAGACCAGGTAAGTTTACATCGAATAATAACTTATGTTTCTTTGATGTTAAGTTGAAGAGAATGAAATATACATTTTATAACTTAGATAAAACATTTTTTTTGGTATCTAAAAAGAATTATTAGGGCTATTTTTAGCCCTCATATCTCATGCATGTTCATATTTCCAAACAACTTGAAAACCTTATACTCTTATACTTAAAATCAAGAAAACTTAATAATTAAAAAAAAAACTGTGTTAAAATAATCTTTAAATTGAATTTTATTTTAAGATATTGATTTTATGAAAGAACATCATGGAACACAGGGAATGACACCTACAATTGAAGCATTAAATATTCGTGTTTCACTTGCACAACAATTCAATGAAAATGCTAAGTATAATTTGAATTCTATAGAAATGTTAATAAATGATCAGCACATGATGCATCAAGGTATATATTTGTTGTTGATATTTTATATTATTATTAATAGATTAAATTATTTTAATGTTTTTTTAAGGTTGGTCAGCAGCTGTAGCAAATATGCTTGATACTGTAGAAAAGTTTAAATTTAAAGCTGAAATATTTGAAATGGATTTTAAACGGTATTTAGATGGCCGAGATGATAGCATAAATTTACTGAACAAGTATATATTATATAGATGGTATAACATAATAGTAAAGTACACTAAATTTTATTTAAATTTTTAGTTTTAATAATAGTTTGGCAGAAATAGCCAAAATTCCTTTGCTACCAGCTCTTTTAGAAAATAACGCAGAAGAGAGAGCACGTATGGATACTTCAATAGTAAATTTGAACAATGTCATGAATCAATCTTTACTTGAATGGGTAACTGCTTGTCAAGGATTAAACAATTTAGAACATATAGTAGAACATTGTGAAAGTAGCCTAAAACAAGTATGTGTTGCCCCATTTTTTAATTATTATTTTTAATCCAAAAGTAACCCTTATATGTTGATAGTTCGATGAAAATATGTTAAATATGGTTTTACAAGAAGTTTCTACTATGAATGAAATTTCTAGCCGTAGTGATTATTCAGAGATTAAAGGGCTAGAGCATAGATTATTTAAACTAGCCCAAATGATGGACGAAAGTAAAAGATTAGCAGCTGAACAGACTAGTCTCTTTGAAGTAAATACATTCTATCTATTATTAATTAACAAAAATATTTATAATTATGATTTGATTTTAATGTTTTGATAAATGTTAACACTAAAATTAAATCTAATAATTAACTTTTCATTCTACAGTAATTAAAGAAACTTAATGTTCTAAAAGACTTATGCTAATTTTATTATTGTTTATTAAATAATTGAATAAAATTGTCAAAATAGATATTTCTAAAATAATTAAAAAAAGTATGAAGAATTTTTTATAAAAAGACTTAAAACTATAATAAAAATTATATATACATTAATTCTATAAGGAATTTTAGTAAAAATGTTGTGTACAGTTGCTAGAACCAAAGACACAATTAAAAGAATTTTTGCTTTAAATGTATATTTGTAAATTTCGAAATTACATAATGTTAAAAACTAAAGTGTAAACATTAAAAAAATCAAATATTTTTTTCTTTTATTTTGAGGTTGGAGCTATTTGAGCTACAATATTTTGTATTTAACAGTAAAATAATTATCTGTTATTTACTTGATTTAGGAAACCTCCTCTTTTGAGAGAGACCGCTATGGCCTTTAATGGGCTTAAAAAAAATTATCTGATTACCATAACAGACTATAGGGAGAAAGATTTGATGTAAAATCGAATTTCTATTGTATTTTAAATAATTAAATTTGAAATATTGAGCGTCTTTTTCATTGAGTAAAAATTAATTTTCACAGCATTCCTTAAATTATTATAAATCAGCTTTTAGCAATAAATGGGCTTAAAGTATGTCCCAGTCATGTAATAGTGCATATCAATTGACCCTATTTTTCACTTCAAAGTTGACTGAGGCATATGCCTAAGTTTATACTTCTTTAATAATGTCCCTGCCTTTTCTTATAAAAGTGAGTGTTAAATTTTATTATAATGAATTGAAAAATCATTTTTTTAGGCTATCAAAATGAATCATGCAAGAGCTGCTAATGAAGGTGATATGTCAGTTATAAGTGTGCTCCTAGCATCACATGATAAACAATTGGAAATGATGAATAAAAATAATTTAAGGTTATGTGACATAAGAAATAGAAGTATTAGAGCTAAGCAAGAATTATGTCAGAATTTACATCCTCGTTTAAAGTAAATTTTTATACATTCAAACTAACTTATGCTGAGTAATTATTAAATGTTTTTCTGTTGTTATTTATCTAAATTAATTAACTTATTCTTAAATTTATTCCGTAAAGTTATACTAAAAAAAAATTTTTTTTTTTTTTATAGATGGCTGATTGTAATAGAAAATAAAGTTAGTGATATTGAAGCAATAATGTTATTGTATAGTGACAGCATAAAATTAACTCGTGAATATCTTGATATTGTTGAACAATTAGATAATACTCCAAAATTGTACTTTAATGCTGTTGCTGAAGTTGTCAGAAGACGGATCTTTTCTCAAGCATTACTTATTGTATGTTATATATATAATTTTTGTATTAAACATATAAATATGTATAATATATAAATACCTCTCTATTCTTAAAAAAAAAAATTTAATTTTCAAATAACTTATGCTATGAGGTTCGGAAGTTGGTGATAATATGGTAGTCTGGTAGCTTAGTGGAAAAATTCTTGGCCAGATAACGAGAAACCTGGGTTTAATTCCCAATCCACTAGTATTTTTTTTTTCAGTTTACATGTTTTTATTATATTTTATTATATAAAATATTTTTCCCTAGAAATATCATTAAGGTTTTTCATTGTAAAAAAAGGTCGATTATTAATTTTTCTTTAATAGAAATTATTAATTATAGATATAAAATATTCTGTTTTTTAATAATCCCTACAGACTCCAAACTACAAATATATATGTTAAAGTGTTTATAAATTGTATTATTCATAGAAATTTATCATCTTTTAGTGGTCTAGTGATCTTGCTTGTCATATGATGGCTCGCTATTCTGATGAAATAGCCAAGCGAAAGAATTTCCAATCTCAATTTGAAGGTCATTTTTTAAATCCATTATTTCCTGGATTAGAAGATATGCCTCCACCATATGCTACACAAGCTCCATCTATATTTGATAATAATTTACCTAAGGTAATACAAAATATTTAAATTTAGAATTTGTTTATTAAAATTTTACATTTATTAATTTTTCAAAAATCTAATTTTTAACTTTGTTAGAAGTCAACAGCTGGAACTTGGGTCTAATCATTAGAATTAAAACTTTCATGAAACATTTCATAGAAATTATAACTATAATTAAACCCATTTAACTATATAATTTTTTTAGCTTTGCTTAGATGATCTGGATCAATTGATTAAACAACTACCTCAAATAGCTGAAATAACATCTGTGCCTAATTTTAATGCTATTACACAATTTTTTTTATCCAAATCAATTCTTGAAGATGGTATATTAGCAATTGAAGGAAATAATGATCATAAATCTGTAGCAATGGAAACAAGTAATGTTTCATTAATAGCTAACACGAACAAAACAGTTGAAGAAAAATTAAATGTTATTATGACTGCTGTTGGTATTGGGTCGTGTCAAGAGGAAATGCAACAAGATTCTGAAGTTATTAAAAGAACACACTCTGAAATGTAAGTCTATTACAATCTATATTTGATTGTATACTTATTATATATTATAAATGTTTTATTACAATATTTACAGTTTTATAAACAAAAAATTGTTATATTAATAATAACTTATTTCTAGGGAAAATGACAGCTATAGTCCTGATAGTAGTTCCATGTTGCCCCATAAATATGCTGGTAACACTCAAGAGGTATTTATTTTCTTATTTATATAAATAATTTATTATTATTATTATTATTTATTTGTATTTATAGTATGCAGTTGAATTAATAAAAAAAAATCTATGTACATTTGCAAATCTAGCCAATAATTCTTTAAAATCCGTACGATCAGATTTAGATGAACTGAAACATTGTTTCATTGATCATAACATTGAAATGGATGTGTTAACTAATGATTTAAAACTTAAACATAACATGCAAAACTGTCAACTTCAACAACTTATACAAGTAAAATATAAAAAAAAAAAATAAAGAAACCTATAATCCAAATGTTATTTCAATTTTAGTTTGCTAATGCTAGTAATCATGAGTTAAATGAGATGAAAAATAGAATTAATGAATTAGAATCATTATTAGAAATTCACATTAAAAAAGAAGAACATGAGCGCCAATTGCGTATGAGACTTGAAAATGAGAGAGATGAATGGATGCAAAGAGAATTAGAACATGCTCGAAAAGAAATAACAAATCAACTAACAATAATGCACAAGAAAGAACTAGAAATGATGCAAGTTCGATTCAAATTAGTCACACAAGCTACCAATATGGAACGAAGTTTAAGTGAACAAAATTTAGAAAAAAACAAAGTTAGTCAAATTTTATTATTTACTTAAAAAATGAAAAATATAAATAAGCAATTAAATGTTAATATTTAATTCTTATAAAAATTATAAATTATTATTAGCAAAGACATGATGTTATTGAGCTAGTTAATCATGAGGCTATGATGGCACAACTTAAAGAGGACCTATTAATAGAAAAAGAACAAGCTATTCAAGAAATTCAAAGAATGTGTGAACAGAAAATTTTGCGTGAGAGACAGCTATTATTGTTCAAATCTGATGAAAAACGTGATGAACAAGTAAATAAATATGAATTTAAAACTAAAATTTTACTTATGCCAATAATTATTATATTATTAAGTATCTTTGGAGTGATAAAAATCGTACATCAAAATACTTGAAGGAAAAATGTATGAATGAATTGAGATTATCGAGTAAATCTGAGTTAGTTCCTAGATCAAATAGCATTTCTACACCAGATTGGTAAATTTATTTTCATTCATAATAAGTTCAAATACAAAAATAGCTAATCATTTTTTTTCCTAGGGAACTTGATAATTCATCAGCCACTAATAGTGTTTTTGTGGATCTTGTAAGTATAAAATTGTTTATGTAAAAATAAATTATATAGGTATTCAAGATTTTACTGACAACATTTATAACTTTTGATCTAATTATCATTTCTTTGACATTTTTTTTTTCGTTAATTATTGCTTTTCTTAGACTACATTCAAAGCTTTTTTTTTATTATGTATCTCAAAAAGAAATTTTATAAAAAAAATTTTTGAAATTGTCTGAAATATTATTTGAGTTTCTTAAAAAAATATTTATTTGTACAGTTACATGATGTTTATTACTTTAAATACACATAAAAATATATGTAGTTAATAATTTATTGTTTTAAATCATCATTTTATGGTTAATTTTTAATATTCTATCTATTATATAATATATAAATATATATATTATATATACATATTTTTTTTTTTTTTTGGTCTAAAGCTTTAGCTACTAGGACATTAACTTAACTGTAAGTGTAAGTGGTATAGTAAAGGAAAGAGTTAATTTTAGTCAGTTGTGTCGACCAGAGGCATAATATGTTTCTTCCAAAATCAAAGTACCATATTAATACAATCTCAATAAAAAAGTAAAAAATACAACCATAGTCATATCATTAAATTTCTGTATATCCTTGGTATAGGTAATCCTTTATTTTCTTGGTCATATTGTATGACCGCATTCAATTTATCCTTGCTAATAGTAAAAATTTCCCTTATTTTTCTCCGTCGTCTAGTGTTCCTCAAGGTGCTGTATTATCTTCTCTAATTTTTTCTTTATACATTAACTCTGCTCCATCTATATTCCTTCATTCTAAATTCTGAATCTTTACCTATGACATAAAATTATTTATGCATGTAAAATCAATCTCTGATTGTTATTTACTCCAACCTGACTTATCCCAACTTGTTATTTGCTGTGATTCCTTAAGCCTTTCTATTAATGTTTTTAAAAGTTCATTTTTGTCATTCTCTCGTCAGCGCTCTTCTATTTTCTACACATATACTAATAATATTCCTATTAATAAATTTAATGAGATGATTCGTGACTTAGGTTTAATTTTTTTAAAGATCTTTCTCCTGTGGCTCATGCCCATTACCAATGTTGCAAAGTGCTAAAGCTTCTTAGGTTTATTAACTGCAATTGTCAAAACTTTAATCAAATTTTGTCTCTAAAAAAACTGCTCTCTTGTTTGTCCTACCTTTGAATATGGAAGTGTTCTTTGGGATACATTGATTGCTGTCTCCAATTCCACAATTGAGTGTGACAAAAGAAAATATCTAAAACTAAAACAAAAAATTATTAAACTATTAGACTGTACTATCCCACTTACAGGTTAAAGTATACATTTAATTAATTATGTTGTATACTTGTTTATAGAGTAAAAGTTCAAGTTCTGAATCTGAAGAAGGAAAACTTTCAATTATATCGTAAGTTTAAGTTACGAATTTATAAAATAAATATAAATTCATGTATAATAATCAAATAACTCAATTACTCAAAATTAAGAATAAAAAATGTTTGAAAATTTGATAAATCATGTTGTTGAATTAATATCTCCTCATAAGTGCAAGTAGAGAGCTAGGAACTTAGCCTTCACTATTATTATTATTTTTTTATTAAGAAAATTTTGTGTGTTGAGGCAAAAGCTACCTCAAAAATATTTTTCTAGTTGCTTCTATGTCCTTCGAATTTTTAATTAATTTCCAATGGTTCACAATAATATGATAAATGTTTAAATCATATTATTTAAAATAAATTCAGAATTATTAAATATTATTTGAACACTACACATAAGTTAAACTAACATAAAAAATCAAACTAACAAAATAACTTGATTTGTATAATTTTTATGATTTTATTTGTATAATTTTTTATTAAAAATTTTAATGAATGTGAAAATTAATGAATTCACTTTTAGTAAATGTGAATGAGAATGTATTCTAAAAAAAAAAAAATTTTTTGAATACAAATTCAAAAAAATTGAAAATAATTTTGTATGTATTGCTTTGCAATTTTTTTGTTGAACACTGTCAAATTATATAAGAATTAATATAAAAAACTTATGATAGAGTTGGTATTAACTGCTTTTTATTTTTTTAGGTGTAATGTTGGAGATTTTGTTTTAGTTATTTGGGATTCTACTTACAAAAATTACATTGTATACCAAGAAAATAAAAAAAATATTGTCTTTTTACATCCAGAAAGTATTGACACTTTATCGTTAAAGCATAACCCTGGTATTTAATTTTTATTCAATATTTATTTATTTTAATTAAAGACACATACAGTAAAATAATAATACATGTATAGACAATGTAACTTTATTCTTTTCCAAATCATATTTTGATGGTTTTAAATTAAGATTAAAATAACGAATATATCTATTCAAGAAAAAAAAATTATACTAAATAATTTGAAAAATATAGCATTTTATAAATTTACTGGTAAGATACATATTAAAAATGTCTTGCTTTTTTAGCTTCCTGAAAAATAAAATAATTTTAGTTTCACATAGCTCTTTAATTGTATTTAAATATCAACCATTTTGTCCAACACTACTATACATTATTCATAATAATATTAAATTAATTTATTTTAACAAATTAAAAAAATAAATAGACAATACTTCATTCCAAATGATACAATATATCATATTTTATGCTCTATGATTTTTGGCTGTAAATTAACAACTTAAACCATGTACAGACCATATATAAGTATAAAAACATTTAATTATAAATAAATACTTTATTTGTTTTCTTAAAAATTTGATAATGAACTTAAATTATTTAGAAATTTAATGTTTTAATTTTGATTATTGTAATAAGAAATAAATTATCAAATGATTGTTTGATAATTTCTTTCATGACAATGATAAAATTAACATACCTCTATACTCTTATATAAGTATTTTTGACAAAATTTTGTTATTCCATCAAAATTTAGCTAAAAAATGGTAAATAGTAATCTATTATTGTAGCAATAGTTGGAAAAGAATTAAACAATCAATGAAGTTATGAGTTTTTCTATTAATAGAATTTATCTTTGTGCACTAAAATTAATAGATATAGACTTGGTATTTAGTGATGAACATTTGTAAAAAAAATTTTTAGATGAAATTCCAGCTGTGCAACATTTTTCTGCTGAAGTATTACATAAAGAATTTTGCCAAGCTGTTAAAGTAATAAACAAATAATGTATAGTTCAATAATCCATAATACTTTCTTGTCTTTTTCTTTTTAATAGGAAGGAAATAGGTATAAAGTTCCAAGAGGAACAAAATTCTATCGAGTAAAAGTACAACTGCTTAAAACGTCAAATAATAGAAGAACAATTTCTCTATCTGATAGTTCATGTCCTTCAGTAACTTATGTGTAATAGTAAAATTTTAATCATCATAACTTAAATTTCATAAAAGTGAAATAAATTTTGAAATGACTGTAGAGAATATTATAAACAAAATTTTAAGACCTGATATTATTATATAATCGTAAAGTATACATTTTTATTACTAGACTAAATTGAGCATAACTCTAAGCAATTAATAAGTTCAATTTTCTTTTTTTAATTCAATTACTGTTGCTAATATTTTAATGTAATGACATATGTTCAATCTTAAATTTAAAATTATAATTTTTTTTTACATATTTTATTGTTAAAAATATTATTAAATAAAGGTTTATTTATTAGAATTTTCAGGCATATACTAAAAAAAAACTCCTGTGTTTAATATTAAAATAATTATAAAACTTAAGATATTAAATTATAAATTGAATAAATGTCTTTCACTATTTTAAATATGACATATATATACTGTACATTAAGAACTAGTTTATCTAAAAACTATGTTATAATATAGCTATTGTATATTATATAATGCAACTGCTATATCATAATAGCCTCTTTATTCTTTCTTTTTGTATTTCAAATAATGTATTGTATATATTATGTAATAAATACAATTCAATTATGAATTTAAAAATAGTTTTTTATAATACTTAATTTTAGTTAATAAAATCTTTGGTTTTATTATTTTTGTACTTAAATTCAATGAAAATTTTTTTATTTAATGTATTTGCCATGATTTTTTTATAATTTATATTTTATTAATGTTAATATGTACATATATTTTTTTTAAATTAAAAAATATTGTTTATTTAAAATTTTTTATTATATAATTAAATATTTAATTTACTGCAAATGTATGGATACATTTACAATTACTTGTACTACATAATGTTGACAATCTTAATTGCACACTTGGTAGATTCTTGGTATAGAAATAATACTTAGAAAAAATTTTTATTTGTGCAATATTAGTCAAGTGTGATGAAATTTGTACAAAAATCCTATGTAGAAAGAAAGAAATATTTTGATTGTTATTCTATTGTTTTGTATTATGTTTTAAAGTAAAATGTATATAATATGTCATTGTAATGTGTAATAAAATGGCTGTGTGTACTTTTTTAAATATTTATTTTTCTCCTGTTAAAAAAAAAACTTTTGATTAGACAAGAGATTTAAGGCCAAACTAAAAGAAGAAATACACGTAGAAGTTAATATGATGATAAAAAAATATTTATTACAATTGTTATTAAGAAATATAATAACAATCTAGAAATTATACTAAAGTTGCTGCTTGTGCTCTTCTAGCTTTAATTTCTGCACGCCTTGATTCTAGATTACTCCTCTCATGTATACGTCTTTTATATTTGAGTAATTTAATTTCTTTTTCTCTCTTTATTCTTCCTGATTTCATACTTTTGTACAAATTTTTATACTTCTTTTGAATCATTTTTTCTTTCAGTAACTGTAATTGCTTCATTTCTTGTCTAAGTTTTCCTTTGTTTACAAATTCTGGTGTACCTGATTCTACTTTCATTTTTTTACGCTAGAAAATTAAAATAAGTTTAGAGATACAAGTACTTTACTAAAAAGGACAGCTAATATTTACTTACTACAATATGAATTAATGGAGTAATAGGTACTATATTATTAATAAGTTATTTTTATATGGGATTTTAATATCCATTAAATAAAAAAATAAGAGTTTTTAATTACTTATTAATAGTTATAGTCCAAAAGTTGGATTTAAAAAATGATAATATTTCAATTATGTATTATTGGAATGGGTTCATTCCTAAATATAACAATGAAGTCTTCTTATATATAATTACATGACTCAAGTTAAAACAATATTTACATTGTTTAAATAATAATCATAAAATATACAGAATGATTTTCTTATCATAACCCACACAATTATTTACAGAATAAATATAATTTAAACATTTTTTTTAGCTTCGATGCGAAGCTGAGAAGGTATTGATTTTACTAAGATGTGTTTTTTTTTTTTTTGTGTCTGTTACCACTTTTTCTCAGCTCTCACCAAACCAATTTCTTTCAATGATACGTCAAAAGATCACAAATTGAAAATATTTCCCTCGTTCCCCGTAAATGGGAAAAACCTCCAAAAAAATTACAAATTTAANGGGGAAACCTCCAAAACCTCCAAAAAAATTACAAATTTAAAAATCGCTAATTTTCGAAATTTTTTTTACTTAAAAGTGCCATAACTTTTTAAAAAATGATCATATCAATATAATTTTTTTTATATAGATGCATAATATCATTACCTTTCATTTGGTATATTTTTTTCATAAATTTAACCCTTAACCTGCCCACAAGGGGGGATTTAAAATGACAACTTTTTCACAAAAAATTAACTTTTTCAACTTAACTTTTGAAAATGTTCCAGAAGGTCTGACACTTATATATATCTTAAATTAAAGCTAATGTAATGTTCTTTATTATGCAAAAAAAATATTTCGGACATTATTTTATCTTCACGGTGAAAATGGCTACTAAATGCTATTTTTGTGTGAAAATTTTCGATTTTGTATTTTACATTTTTAACTTTATTATGCTATAACTTTTTGAAAAATGTATGGATCATTACAATTTTTTTATGAGAAGTAGTATTTATATACATCTTTCATTCGACATACTGTTTTTTTAAATCGGATCATTTCCCTATATACGAGGGGGGTTCAAATCTAAAAAATGCATGTAGAAAGTAGAACTTTTTCAACTTATCTTTTGAAAGTGTTCCGGAAAGTCTGACACTTTTATATATATCTTAAATTAAAGCTAATGTAATATACTTTATTATGCAAAAAAAAAAATTCGGACTTTATTTTATCTTCATGGTGAAAACAGACATCAAACTTAATAAAAAAAATAAAATTTTTGTTAAAAAATTCTTTTTTATATTTTTACCTTATTATGCTCTAACTTTTTGAAAGATGTATGGATCAATATAATTCTTTTTTTATAGATGCATGATGTCTTTACCTATCATTTGGTATATTTTTTTTATAAATCTGACTTTTTACCTACCTACAGGGGGGGATTCAAAATGACAACTTTTTCACAAAAATTTACTTTTTCAACTTAGATTTTGAAAGTGTTCCGAAAAGTCTGACACTTTTATATATATTTTAAATTAAAGCTAATGTAATTTATTTTATTATGCAAAAAAAAAATTTCGGACTTTATTTTATCTTCACGATGAAAATGGCTACCAAATGCTGTTATTATGTGAAAATTCTCGATTTTATTTTTTACATTTTTAACTTAATAATGCTATGACATATTGAAAAGTTTATGGATCAACATTATTTTTTTATGAGAAATAAAATTTTTAATAATCCCTTTTTCATTTGACATACTTTATCTTAATCAGGATATTAATAAGGAACTAGCAGATCATGTAGCTTTTGGAATAATCCGCCAATTTTTTAAAATTAATCACTATCTACAGATTTGTATCGAAGCGTTTTTTATGATAGTGATTTTAATCACTGTTAGATATCATCTATACTGAACCCAACTATGCCACATCATTACTGTGCTGAGTTTTTTTTGGTTAAACAAAAAAAAAAATTATAAAAATTGATCTAAAGTTTGTGTAATAAACAAAAAAAATAATGGTAGCACAGTGGGGTCGTGTCATAGTATGGATATGGTAAAGTTGGACAAGTATAGATGATATCTGGCAGTGATTAAAATTACTATCATAAGAAACGCTTTGATACAAATCTGTAGATAGTGTTTAATTCTAAAAAATTGGTGAGTAAATACGAAGACTCCCAATTGACAAAAAATTTACTTTTTCAACTTAGATTTTGAAAGTGTTCCGAAAAGTCTGACACTTTTATATATACTTTTTCATTTGACATACTTTATCTTAATCAGGATATTAATAAGGAACTAGCAGATCATGTAGCTTTTGGAATAATCCGCCAATTTTTTAAAATTAATCACTATCTACAGATTTGTATCGAAGCGTTTTTTATGATAGTGATTTTAATCACTGTTAGATATCATCTATACTGAACCCAACTATGCCACATCATTACTGTGCTGAGTTTTTTTTGGTTAAACAAAAAAAAAAATTATAAAAATTGATCTAAAGTTTGTGTAATAAACAAAAAAAATAATGGTAGCACAGTGGGGTCGTGTCATAGTATGGATATGGTAAAGTTGGACAAGTATAGATGATATCTGGCAGTGATTAAAATTACTATCATAAGAAACGCTTTGATACAAATCTGTAGATAGTGTTTAATTCTAAAAAATTGGTGAGTAAATACGAAGACTCCCAATTGACAAAAAATTTACTTTTTCAACTTAGATTTTGAAAGTGTTCCGGAAAGTCTTACACTTTTCTATATATATTAAATTAAAGCTAATCTACTTTATTATGTAAAAAAAAAAATTCGGACTTTATTTTGTCTTCACGGTGAAAATGGCTATCAAATGCTATTATTGTGTGAAAATTCTCAATTTTATTTTTTACATTTTTAACTTTATAATGCTATAACTTATTGAAAAGTGTATGGATCAACATAATTTTTTTATGAGAAATAATATTTTGTAATAATCCCTTTTTTTTTTTAATTTAATCACTATCTACAGATTTGTATCTATACTGAACCCAACTATGCCACATCATTACTGTGCTGAGTTTTTTTTTGTTATCTTTAGTTACACATTATACTTGAAATATTAACTATGTAATACTTTTTAAGTTCATCCCTTATGCCTTGTAAGGGTATCAACTTTGTTTTTTTAAACGGAAACACATATTTTGAATTTTATAAAATGTTTGAGTTTTTAATGTAATAGTAAATGGCATTTGAATTTTTAGTAAAACTTTATTTGTTTCTTAGATATAAACATTTAAAGTTTCAAATTTTTGAGTTAATATACATATATAATTGTAAGGGATTACAAATACAGATAGCTAATTGGTTTTTTATGACATTACTGTCATAGTGACGGATTGTTTATTATCAATTTTGACTATCAATAGATATACTTTTTGTATTGTCAGTTAGTGTATTTATAAACTCACAACAATGTGCCTTATTACCATTGATAATAACAATGATGTTATTTAATGTACTTGTGAATATCGATGTCATAAAAAACCAATTAGCTACCAGTATTTGTAATCCTTTAACTCAAAAAATTGAAACTTTAAATGTTTATAGCTAATAAACAAATAAAGTTATACTAAAAATTTAAATGCCATTTACTATTACATTAAAAACTCAAACATTTTATAAAATTCAAAATATTTGTTTCCATTAAAAAAAACAAAGTTGACACCCTTACAAGGCATAAGGGATGAAATTAAAAAGTATTACATAGTTAATAATTCAAGAATAATGTGTAACTAAAGATAACCAAAAAAAAAAAAATGTTTAACTTGTGTTTATTCTGTAAGTAATTGAGTGGGTTATGATAAAAAATCACTCTGTATAATAATTTTTTTCCAAAAAAGAGGTTAGTTATTAAGTCTAACACAATGATTACACTAGATATTCTAGGGGTTTCTTTCATTTCACTATATTAACAGCAACAACACACAGAATAGTCCACAATGTTTTTACAAATTTAATAACATATAAATAAACATTTTGGATTACTTTTTTTTAAAATAATTTATGCATTCTTAAACTATGTTAAAATCATAATTTTTATTATTAGTTTTTAATAATTAAAATAAAAAATATCCAATCATTTCAAATGTCGTCAATGTGTTAATAAGCCAGCCCTAATTTCAAGTTCAAAATTCATTTTTTTGAATGAATAAAATGTTTGGAGATACGTGTTATAACAATAACAATAGTATTCTTGTACATATTTGACCTCATTTGAGGGACCTGCTGCTACAATTAGGAAACTTTTTTTTTTTTTTAAATTTAATTTATTATACTATGTCTTGTAAAATCTACTTTATNTTTTTTTTTTTTTTAATTTAATTTATTATACTATGTCTTGTAAAATCTACTTTATTTAAAGCACAAAAATATAAATGTCCAATAATTTTTCAATGAGTATCAGCAAAAATGGTAAGTCCTTTTCAAAAATGAAATTGTTGGGTTGTTACATCAAGCCCCTTTATTTTATATATACTGGAAATTTCATAAAATTTAAAAAGGTGATATTGTTTATTAGTTTTATAAGAGGCATAATATATAATTTTGACATTACTCAAAAATTATATTTTTGAGATATGTGCATTTATAATATTAAGGTAATACATAGAACATGTAAAAAAAAAAATGTATTATTATTTTTTTACTATTAGTTTACTTATAATTATAATCCTATATTGATAGAAAATAAATTTTATGTTCAACTTACTTTCATATTGGCCAATATTTCTTCAGTTATTTCTCCATCAAATTCATCTTCTTCAATACTCGTATCACTATCCATTTTTTTATCATCATCCAATTCATTTTTCTCATCATCTATGTCTTCAATATCATTATCAGAAATATCATCTAACAATTCTTGATCTGCATAAAAAATGTTTTATTAAGTTGAATATTCGTTTTGCTTTCCAAAATTAATATTTACCAGTGTTGGGCATTGCAGTAGGATCTGTAAGGGCTTTTTCTTCAGGTGGAATATATCGCTGAGTTTTATATTCTACAGTAAATGGTGAAAGATGTGGTGGCAAAACCATACCAATAAAATATTTTTCAACTGGTAATAATTCACGAGCATTTACACAGTCAAAAACCCATTGAGGTTGAATATAATACCTGAAAATATTGAATTTTTTTAAACAGTTAATCAATTAAAATCTTTTTAAATTTAAAAATTATTTAATTATTACCTAGAAATGTACTGTTTTTGAATGTCAGGTCTATCAACAATTTGATGAGTAATAGTCTCATCAGTTTCTGGAAATAATGCACCTTCAGGGAAAGTTGTCTCATCCCAAGATACTTTAGCTCCAAAACAACGCAATGCAAATACTAGGGGCTCTCTAGGCACTTCTCTATTTAGGAAAACTTTTAGACCTTCAAATAATTTTTTTAATTTTCTTACTTTTTCATATTCTTTACGAGCTTCTTCTGCTTTTGCTTCATCACCTTCCTAATTGTTAATTTAAATTAATGAAAATAATACATCATTAATAACAGATCATTAAGCCATTCATTACTTACTAAAGGAAAAGCATCTAAATCTAACTCTTCATCTGCTGGATCTTCGACATCTTCTGCAGTTTTTTGTAAAGCTAAATTTAAAGCAGCTACTCTATCACTTGTTTCGTTTTCTTCCAAGATTTCTTCTTCTAAGTTTTCCGCTAGTTAAGTTTAATATTAAATCAAAATCCTTTTATAGGAAAAAAATTAATTTATGAACTTTTAAAACCAAAGTTATGTTTACCATTATAGGTTCCCAAACGAGGTGGATAGTACAAGTTAATGGTATGATATAAACGATAGTTAACAAACCCAATAGCTGTAGAATAAAAGTCGGCAAAAGTTGCCATTGTATAAAAATCAACTTCTTGTTTTTTTTGAGGCTGAAATTGTTTAACAATATAATAAATAATGATAGATAATAAAGAAATATAATTTAACATATTACATACTTCATGAGGATAATTGTGTGGTATAATCCAAGTTATAAGCTGACCTTTAATTTCTACTTGGAAATAAATTCCTTTTATTGATATAAATACTTTACGAAGAGCTCGTGCAGCGATACAATAATGCATAAATTCAATAGTGAGGCGACGACACAAGGCTATTAGATTAGGAGGAATGCTTATCATCTTAGGAAATGTAGCAAACAAGCAACATAAAGTTAAAGCATCATCCATATCTCGCAAGGCATCAATAAAAGTCGGATACCTTTCTTTAACAACATGATCAATACTTATACGAGGTATAGTACTAGAATATCGTTTTACTAAATCTTTTTGGTGCATACCCTTAGCTCTTTTCAATCTTTTAAGATGAACCTAAATTTAAAAAATTGTTAAAAATTGAAAAAATGTATGAATATAATGTAAAATTAAAAAATACTTGTAATTCACGTAGTTTCCATATCATGGGTTCATGCATCAAAAATAAAATATCTTTTTTTAAGTATAGTATTTGTATGCCACTTTTTCCTTTTTGAGCACGACGACGATGAGCTGGTTCTCTTGGATAAATACCTTTTATTATACATAATGTACGAAAATCTTTTAAAGATAATTGGAGCTTATTCAATGCAGCTCGTCTTGTTACATATCTCGCTCCTTCGCCAGATTGAAACTTGAAAAATATAAAAAATAAAATAAACATTTAACTATACATTTATATACTTTATGACTTTCTTACCTTTTTCTTTTTCAGAGGCATTTTGAAAGTAAATTTACAAGATTAATATTTTACCTAATTCATATACTCCAAAACATGTTCATAAGTCATAACAAGTTTATTATGTTCTAACATAACCTCACAATTTGTAGATTTAATGATAATAATCACAAGAATAAAAATTAGTTTGGTACTACTTCACCTATATTTCATATTTTTCAAACACATAATATGCAAATTTTGAAAATATTAAATATTATTACTTCAAAAAAATTTTGTTTGTAATTATTAAAAAAAAAAAAAAGTGAGGAATAACTATTCAAGGTTTTGTAGAAATATTATTTTGAATTAATTATAAAAGAAACACTATTGTCATTTATTATCAATATATTTGTATTATAAATTGGTACGGTTATCTATACAGGTTGACGGTCGGTGCTATATATTCAATGCTTTAGCAATTTTAAAGTAGTGTTTATCATGAATTAAAAGTACTATTAGTATGTGACCTGACAATAACATGTAAAAAAATAGGGAAAACATATATGTTGCTATATAAATAATTTCTAAAAATATTGATTGTTAGTTTCTCCGGAATTAACAATAGATTTTTACAATTATAATGAAATTTTATAAAACGCTCTATTGAGTAGATCTTTTTAACAACTTGTTTTTGATTAGTTTTTTTAGTTTATAGTAAATCACTAAAATTAATACAGTTCATATCCCAATTGTAGAATCTTTTTAAACACCAAAAACAACTTTAAAGAACCAAAAAATAGGTTAAAAATGATATTTTGCACTGATTATTTTTAATAAAATAAAAATCAGTAATAATTTGAAAACATTTTTCTCTTTTTTTTAATGATTCTTTTATATGTAAACTACGCTTCGCCTAGCTGGGGCTCAGCACCAGACCCAGGACCCTACGAGCCCCTTTGGCGCGTAAGCCTCTTCGGGCCGTCATCATAAGTAGATCACTGATTCCGGCAGGAGTATCCGGCTACGCCGGGTACGATAAGTATTTTGCAGAAAAAATATTACATCAGACTCAGTGTAACAGAAATATATTAAAATGATTTGAACAAACTAACAATTTAAACGGTAGCACAGTGGGGTCGAGGCACAGTGTGGACGAGGCATAGATGGGACAAGTATAGATGATATCTGACAGTGATTAAAATCACTATCATAAGAAACGCTTCGATGCAAATCTGTAG